CAGCCATCTACAAACCAAAGAGAGAGGCCTTTGGAGAAACCAACCCTACAAGACCTCGATCTTGGACTTCTAGCTCCAGAATTGTGAGCCAATAAATTTCTGTTGTTTAAATCATCCAGTCTGTTGTACTTCGTTGTGGCGGCCCTAGCAAATAATGCATCTTACACTCAACAGGAGACAACCCTTCAAAATAATGGAGAAAAGACTTGATCAGACAGTTCACAAAAGACTATATCCAACTAGCAAACAAACATATGAACAACGGAGCTCAATTTCATTAGGAAAGAAAGGCAAACTAAAACCACCATGTAATAAACCAACACAGCAACGGGACTAAAATGAAAATGATGGAAACACAAACTCTTGGTGAGGATGTGGCACAATCAGAACTAGACCAACCCCTGTGGGCAATGACTTGACGGTGTCTACTAAAACTGAACATATACGCATCCCCTGTGACCCAAGCAATTCCGCTCTCCGGTATGTGCCCCACAGAAATGCATCCCTCTGTTCCCCAAAAGTCACGTTCTAGAGTGTTTATAGCAGCACGAGACATAGAGCCTTAAACCGGCAGCTCCCCATGAGCCCATTAATAACAGAATGCATAAACACGTTGTGAAATAGTCACGTAACAGAAAACCATAGCAATGAAAATAAACCATCTACAACTACACACAACAATCTGGATGTCTTATAAACACCAAGTTGAGTGAAAGAAGCAGAAACGACAAGAGGACACCTGCCTGATTCCACTATTCCATAAAGTATGAATGCATGCAAAATTCATCCACACTGTTAGAAGTCAGGGCGACAGTGGAGGGCAGGGACAGCATTGGAACACCGGAAGGATTCTGGGGTACCAGGTACCATAATATGTTCAATTTGTTAAAATTAATCAAGCTGTATCGTTACCATATGTGCACTTTTCTATATGTAAATTATACTTCAATAAAAAGCTTTTAAGTGTACAGTGTCCTAAAAATGGAAAGCGCCTTTTTTTGTTTTTAAAGGCAAGGAGCTAAGAACGGAGACCAGGTGCCTGAATTCCCAGAAGGCATATAAACAGGGCTGATAGAGAAAGGCCGGTTTCAGGGCATCAGAGAAGAATCTATAGCCCCAACTTGTGGCCTCAATAGTTGGCCCCTTCTCAAAAAGCTGCCTCCCAAGATTCGAGGCCTGGGGAGGGAGGCCTGGAAGACAGAAGCTGAGATCCCACAATGACTGCCCCATACGCTGCCCTCCAAGGCAGAACCCCCATTTCCATTAGGGGCATGTTTATGTCATCCATATGTTTATGTCATCACAGGGGATGCAGCATCACCCCTTCCCCACTCCCAGATCACTTGCTTGTGCTGCAGCGGACTGGGGTTGTGCTAAACCTACCAGAGCCAATCCAGAGACACCTGATGGAATCACTGGTGGGTGGCGAGTAAGGACCTGAGCTGGCCGGACAGAAGCGGGGAGCTGCTGGCTCCCCATCTTTGCCGCTCCATGGGGAGAAGCTTTCTCAAGAATGAAGCAGAAAGAGGAAGCAAAAGAGGGAAGCAGAATAGAAAAGTAAGAGTCAACTTCTCGAGATCTTGGAACACCTAGATCAAGAGGTGCCTGAAGGTCACACCCTAAACTTACTATGTAAGCCAGTGTTTTGCTTAGGCCAGCTTGAGTTACATCTGCCATTTATGTCACTATGAAGTATGTGCCCTTTCGCTGCTCACCAGAAGCCTGTGTGCACTCTCAGAGACTCAAATGGGCATAATAGGGGCGCCTGGGTGGCTCAATCGGTTAAGCGTCCGCCTTCAGCTCAGGTCATGATCCAAGGTCCTGGGATTGACTCCCCGCGTCAGGCTCCCTGCTCAGCGGGGAGTCTGCTTCTCCCTCTCTGTCTCCTTCTGCCCCTCCCCCTGCTCATGCTCGTGCATGCTCTCTCTGTCTCTCTCTCAAATAAATAATTTTTTAAAAATAAAATAAAATGGCCATAATAATGCACCATGCTGACTGCACCCCTCCCGATGTCGGAACACGCTATACCTTCACAAACCACTTCAATACCCAACAATCCGTTTGATATTCACAGAAATGCCAAGAGAGATAGGTGCAGGTATTACTATCCTCACTTTCTTTGCCATCCTAGACTTTTCAAGAGCTGGCAAGGATGTCGGAACCATCTTATTGAGTCCTCTTGCTTTGACAAGCAGAAGAATGAGGCACAAAGAAAGAAGGAGCACCTGGCATATGACTAGAGTATAATGAAAACTGCAAAGGGCTTTTAAGTTCCTAAAAAGGGCCAAGAGCATCATTATGAAGACTCTGATGTTGTCTGAACCTCAGACTTGAGAATCTGGCTTTCATCCTTACTCATAAAGAAAATCTCATCAGATCCACATCCTGCCATTATAATAAATAACATCAGGGACCATTCACCAAACACCCGTCAGACAACATAATGCTAAGCCTTCATTCATTCTCTTATAGGATCCTCTTTTGAGGCAGATTCTGCTACTAGCTCCATTTTGCAGATGTGAAAACTGAGGCTTTGATTGAGCAGCTTGCCCCAAATCAGTCAATTGGCAGAGCTGGACTTCAAACTAAGGTTGTCCAACAGCAAAGACACTGGGTAGGGCTGTGGCACCAGAGTGGGTTGTCAGTGCCAAGACTTAATTTTGGGGGTCCATTGTCCCATCTTCTGCACAGTGTTGGAAAGTCTGCCCCTTCTGCTCTGATGTTCGCCTCCTTCAGCATTTCTAGAATCCAGCTTAAAAAAATGTATCCCCTGAGCAAGTCCTTGCCAATTAACTGAGATTCTTCTACCCATCATCAGCACCATCTCCTTATAGACGATGGGTCCTCCCTTCCGAGTAGCTGTCAACACACTTTGGGGTCAATTATTCTAGCTGGAATATCTGACACAACCACTGCCTAGCTGTTTCCATCCCACACAGCCACCAGAGTCGGCTTTTATGAAACTTAAATCGTATCACACCACTTCAGGCCCACGAGGACGGCGACCATCAAAAAGACAGGCAACCAACGAGTTTTGGCGAGGATGTGGAGAAACTGGAGTCCTCGTACATTGCTAATGGGAATACAAAATGGCCAAGTGCTTTGAAAAAAGTCTGGCAGGTCCTCGGTTAAATATAGTTACCATATGACCCAGTTACCTAGGAATAGACCCAAGAGAAATGAAAACGTATGTTCACACAAAAACTCATACGCAAGTATTCAGAGTAGCATTATTTATAACAGACGAGGAATAGAAACAACCAAAATGTCCATCACCTGACGAATCAAGATGTGGTCTATGCACGCATATCCAGTGGAATCTTATTCATCCATAAATGAGAATGAAGCATGGGCACCTGCTATAATGTGGATGAACCTCAAAAACAGGATGCTGAGTGAAAGCAGCCAGTCACAAAAGCCACATAGTGTGCGATTCTACTTACACGAAACGTCCAGGGTAGACAAACCCACAGAGGCAAGAAGCACATCCCTGGTTGTTGGGGGCTGACTTTGTAGGGGATCCACATGCCGAAACGGCATCGTGGTGATGGCCGCACAACATTGTGAATGTACTCAGAGCGCTGAATTGTGTACTCTAAAATGGTTAAATAGTGAGTTTTACGGTGTATGAATTTTATGTCAGCTTAAAAAAATGTTTTTCACCCTCTCCCAAAGAAAATGACCAGATAGCATAACTACTCCCTTTGCCCTACTTTAAAACCCCCTAGTGGCTTCCCAGTCACACCAGGAGTCAAACCCAAATTCCCTGCCAGGGCCTATAAGGGCCCCCATGGCCCTGGCCCTGTGACCTCTCCCCTCTCCTTCTACTCTTCCCCCACCTCCTGGCCTTTGACCTGGCCTGTCCCTCAATCTGGCATGTTCTTTCCCACAGCTGGCTTCTCATCGTCAAGTCTCTGTCCAAATGTACACACACACACGCACGCACACACACACACACAAGGCCCTCTCTGACCATCCCATCTAAAATACAGCTCCCAGGGGTGCCTGGGTGCCTTCGCTGGTATCCTATTATGCAATGACTCCTGATTTTGGCTCAGGTTATGATCTCAGGGTAATGAGGTAGAGCCCCAAGTAGGGCTCTGCGCTGGGCGTGGAGCCTGCTTAAGATTCTCTCTCTCCCTCTCCCTCTGCTCCTCCCTCACCATCGTGTGTGCGTGCACACACGCACTCCCTCTCTCTCTCTCTCTAAAAAAAATAAACAAATAAAAGCTAAAAAATAAAATAAATACAGCTCCCATCACGCTCCATCCCAATATCCTGCTTTATTTCTTCATAGGCCTAATCACCCTCCAAAAAGATACAGATTTTTATAAACTGTTTACTTCCTTGTTGCGTGTCATTCCAAGCACGAGGAGAGGGATCTTGTCTGTCATGTTCACAGCTCTGAACTTGCCCACCATGTAGGAGCTAACTGAGAGACACCTCTGGAAAGAATGGATTTATTGAAGGACTTCTGTAACATCTGAAATGCCACCTGCTACCTGGTCAGGTGTCCGGAGCACTAAGTGATCAGCTACACTCTGCAGGTGCTCTGGGAGTTAATAAGCATTTGCTGGCTAGGGTGGCAAACCCCACCCTAGACTGTCTAGAACCCTGAGGAAGCAGGAAGAATGATCCCTCCCCTCGAAAGTCTGAAAGTCTTTCAGGGGTCACAAAGCACTCAGTGTTTACCCAGCAACCCACAAACAAACGCAAAGGAGAGATCTAAGACTGTGTTGCTGATGGAGGCTAGGGTCCAAATCGGCCTCATAAAACTGCGCACTGGCAAACACCCTTATGTACAGCTTCTTATGACTTTGCAATCTGACCTGTTCTCCAGAATGAGACGGTTGCAGCTCACACCTGCTCCTGCCTCTTCCCACGGGGACTTTCTTTCCTGAGGCAGTTAGAAATCTAAATAGGCGGGTGGTGAAGACCTCCTGCCCCCTGTCCTCCCTACTTTTGGCATCTCTGAGCTGCACACACAGCAAGCAACTTACCCACTAGGAGTTTGACATCTCGGACTGTGAAATCAGGGTCAGGCATCCTGGAAAAAGAGGAGTATAGGCATTTGCTGAGAGGCCAGAAACAAGAGAGTTCAGCGCAACTCTGGAGGCAGGGGAAAGGCCATTTTTCCAAGAGGGTTCCCTTGCTCTCAGTTTGGGAACCCAAAATGAGATACTCCAGAGGGAGAGTGATAGACCAGTCAATGCCCCAAGGGAGGGTCCCTCTCCAACCACTGAGCCCTTTCCTCACCCCAGTAGGCAAACCAATTCCCTCACTCTCCCCAATATGAACTCAGCACTGCCGTAGAAAAGATGGGACATCCACCGTCCACCCCACTTTTCAGGGGAAGACTGGACCGTGGTGTCAAGGGTAAGTCCCAGAGCTGGGCATTCAAACACCCACTCTCTTTTAAGGTGGGCAGCTCTCTCTGTGTCTCTTCCTCTAGCAAATACCCTCCATAAAAGGAGTTGCAGGGATCCTTTAAGTTCAAAGGGAAAAAAAAGACACACATCATTCCAATTCCAGGGATTTGGTAACCCCGGCTCTAATGACTGAGGTGACCTTCGCTATTAATTAACAGTGATGTCAAAGGTTTGATTTCTACCCTAGGACCGGGACTCTTGAGCAAGCCTGGTAGTAGAGGCTGGAGAGGAGGCAAGCTGGGATGATACCAGCAGCCTCCTCTCCACCCCTGCCCAAGGGGCGGAAACCTGTTCTTCCAGCCTTCCTCCTGGATCTCTCCCCCACCCCACCTGGAGCTCTGACAGATCTCTAAGACAATGTAAACCAAACAAGACACAGTGGGGGAGGCAGGTGCTGGGGCAGGCAGAGAAAGAGGAGACTTGGAGCCTAGCATCCTAGGGTACATGCCCTCCACAGAAAAGAACCAATTTCCCACATAGTGGGAGTCTGAGTAGAAAAATACGTCTCTAGGTGCCCTGCCTCTGGGCTTAGAGACTGGCCAATCCCTTCAGAGCTCAGGCCCTGCCTCAGTTTCCTAACTTGGGAGGGAGGCACAATTCTCCTTAAGAAGTCCCTGCACATAACTGGGGTGGGTCAGGGAAAGAAGTCAACACTGTTTAAGTACCCTCTGTCCTCTCTGCCCAAATTCTCTGAAAAAGACCAATCTTTGGAGAGTTTTTCCCCTTTGTCAGGCCTTGAACAAAGAGATAGTCTCCCCAGATAACGAAGAAAGATCCTTCTCTGTGATGAGAGGTGGGAAAAGGGCAGAAGAAATCTATTCCAAACCACCAACTACATTAGGGAGAGAGACATGGGAAGAAGTAATTTGTTTAGGCAACTTACTTAATCCCCAGTCCATCCTTTTCTCGAAATATCAGGGGAACCCTGAGAGCTTCTCTCTGCACGTATTCATAGTTGAAATCTGTTTGGATATTGGAATTAAAACAGGTTGGTTAAGTCATGAAGGAGCAGATGAGCCACAATCAATCGGTCAGAGGAAAGAACACGGTTATAGCAGATGCAGGCTCCAGTTCTAGGGCAAGAGATCCCTGTCAAATGGCAAGGAAATGGAGCAGGCAAAGCCCATGCCAACTCTCAGCTCCTCTGCCTACTCAGTCATTCCCTGCATGCCCCATGGGTCAGAACTTGTCAATGAACAGCCCAAGGCCAGGGAGGGTGGGGAGGGAGACTCATGAAAGAGCCCCGCACAGAAAAGGCCCCAGCCATCGCTGAGAAAGAGGGACACAGAAATGCACCCCAAGCTGAGCTCAGAAAGTAAAGGCAGTGCAAAATTGAAGAATACCACCTGGGAGGATCTGAAGCCCCAGAGAGGAGGCTGGGAGGAGGGTTCTCATTGTAGCTGAGCATCGGGGAAGATCTTATTGTAATATCCTGCATAGTGAAGGGGAGGGGGGGGGAAGCTGGTTTCCCTGGAAACTGTGTATTTGGTGCCAAAATTACTAGAGAACTGGGCACAGCTTTGTTGTCTTAATAGTGTAATTCTGCTCCAGCTACTGCCATCCTTGTTTCCACCAGGACGCTCCCCCCAGGTGAAGGCAGTTTGAAGAGGGCACAGTGAGGCCCAAAGCCAATTCACAAGGTAGTGCTGCGTCTGGGCTTTGTCTAGTGTAGACCCCCAAATCCCTTATCAAAAGCCCTGGAGAATGAAGGAGGCCTTCGTTTTTACGTTCCTCGAGTTCCAAAACCAGCGGATCTGACCCAACCTTACCCCTAAATATGGAGTCGAAGGAGGCTGAGATAAACCATCACATCCCCAAATCCTGAGGTGAACCAAAGCAATCCACAAGGCCACAAAGCCACATGCCCTCCCTGGCCAGTTGGAGGAGAGATAGGAGAGACCACAGGCCTCGGGAGCCCCTGCCCCAGGCAAACAGTTCACCAGGGCAGCTTGGTGGGGGAGGAGGCCAAGGCAACTCTGCTCAGAGCAGAGGAAGAGAACAAAACCAGAGCTGGGGAAAGCCCTGACCTTAGCAGCTCAGATCCCCAGGGGCTCACAGTGAATGGGGATTCCTAAGGATTTAAAGGCAGAGAAGTTTAAGAAGCTTCTATTTTGAATCCAGGCTAAGGGCTCCTTCTGTTTCTCAGCTCCTCCCTCGAAGTTTTGGGGCCAGATCTGAATTAACTACCAAATCGCTAGGGCCCTCTCCTTTGAAAAGAGCCTGGACAGAAGATTTAAGGGCTCTCCCTAGCTGGAATCTACCCCCTACACACCCACACCCAAAGCCCGCCCCCCACCCCCACTCTCCTCAGCTTCAACTTCCTCAAATGAGCTTGAGAAAACACTCAGATCTTGGGCTGAGAATTCCTCACAAATGACTAGGAAGAGTTTGCATGTTGTTTTCTCATAGGATCCACCAAACTCAGTAAAATGGGAAAGAAACAAAAGGAATTAAAATCCCATTTATGCTAAGGAAATTTAACTGTAGTTGAGACTAGCCCCCCAGACGGTCTACCCTCAGGGTGCAAAGACCTGGCAGGCTGAAAGAAATGTCTTCTTCCCTCCCCCCAACAACTACCCCCTACCACTGAAGCCCAGCACCCCCGGAAGCAGTGGGCACAAAAGAGAAACTTCACAAATGCAAAGCCAGGGCTGTCTCTTCTGGGGGCTAACCTACAGCCCCAGCCACTCAACCAGAGCCTGAAGGGGAAGGCACTGCCCCGGTCATCAGCTCACTGAGGGATGGAAGGTTTTCCAAGGGGGACGGGGGGGGGGGGGTGTCAAAAAATGAAAACGGTGTATTGTAACAGAAACTTGAATATCTAAGAGGGGAAAAAAACAACTTAGAAACCCCAGAGAGCCCAGGGAAATACCTAGATAGGCAGGGGCATCTCCAAAACCCCAACTCCACAGGCAGAACCACAGGTCACACGGGGCCTCTGGAGGTCTCATACCCAAGCCAGAGCATCACCCCAGCGTTGGCAAGACACCACCAGACACCTTCCTAATACTAGGGTCAGGGAGAAACTCAGGCCCTGAAGGTCTCAGGCTGGGGAGACACCCCAAAACCCCAGAGGCTTCCCCAACTTCTCTAAACTGGCAGGGCCTACCAGGGACAGAGCTCTCAAGGTCTCAGGCTGAGAAGAAACTTTGTTCCCCAGAGGGGTACCCCACATTTTCACTTCAAACTATAGGGGTCAGGGATCTCACCCTGAAGCCTGAGGGAGTAAAACTCTCTTACCCCCAGTCCCGACTTCAAACTGTCAAGACTGAAGGGCCAGAGGCCTCAGGCGCAAGTGGGGGCTCCAACCAACAGCTCTGAACTCATCCGGCCCCTGCTCAAATCTGGCCGAGACCAAAAGGTTGCAGGGTTCCGTAGACCCCGGGAGCTGAGGAAGCATCATTCGGTGACCCCAGCATCCCCAGCACCAGCTCCTAACTGGCAGGGCCCGAAATGGGACAGGGTTTGGGAAGCTTCAGGCCTAGTGGGGTCCTCATCCCAATGCCCCAGGGGTACCCCAGCCCCTCTCCCAGTCAGGCTGCCGCACCTCATTCAGCACAAGGAGCTGGGCTAGCTCTGGGAGGGGTAGAATGCCGCGCACCCGCCCTCCCTCCGTCCACCCGTCAGTCCCCAGGTCCCTCGGACCGCCGGTCCCCTGGCTCTGCCCACCTTGGGGCCGGCTGTGGGCGCGGGCCGGGTCTAGGCCCACGCCCGGCCCCCGTTCCCGCCTGCCCTCCTCCTTCGCCACCCCACCCCACCCCCCCAGTGCTCGGCCTTGTTTCGTCACCGGATCCCCTGGAATGGGGGACGCGGGCGCGAAATACGAACCCAGCCACCGGCAGCTCCCTCCCCACGTGCACTCGGGCCGCGGCTCGGAGGGCGGCCCGAGGAGGGGGCGCCTCACCTTTGCCCTCCATGGCGTGCACGAAGTCCCCCTGGTACAGCTGACTGCGCAGCTTCTCCTCCAGGCTGAAGCCGCGGACGCTGACGATCTCCTCCACGTCCGACAAGTCCTCGTTCTCGTCGTATCTCTGGCGGTCAATCGGACGCTGCGGGGACCCAAACCAGAGAGCCCGAGGCATTACTGGGGGAACTGGGGGGTCGCCTCTTACCCTAGGCCCAGCTCAAGCAGGTGCAGGAGTTGCGCGCCCCCCCCCCGCACCCCACCACTGCGACCCGAGCAACTTTGCGCAAATGCCAAAGATGCTGAAAACCAGGATAACGAGAGGGGCCCGCACCCCCGGGGTCCGGCTGTGCCCCACACAGGACACTCCCCTCCTGCATCTTTGGAGGCCGTGGAAAGGACATCTGGGGCTCTCCCTTGCCCCCCACCCCCGATAGGTGTTGAGTTTTGCCCACTCGGCCAGGAGCCTGGTTATGTAACCCGCGAAGGGGGCTCCGCGCACGGGCTGGCGGGGCATTTGTAGGCCCCGGGAGGAGCCACCGCAGCGCCCGGCTCGGCGCTAATAGCAGCCCGGGCGGCCGCCGCGGCAGAGCCGGGAAGCCGGAACCGGGGGCCGGCGGCATTTCTAAGGCTGGAGCCGCCCCCGAGCTACTCGGGAAGCTGGAAAGCTGAAATGGAAGGGCTGAGACCCCAGCCGCCCCCGCCGACCGCCCTCCAGTGCTAGAAGAAGAGGTGGAGGGGGAGGTCGGGGCTTGGGAGGGGGAGAGGCAGACGGCCCGCCACAAAGCTCCCATCGGAGACCCCAAAACGCACCAGCAGCTGCCTCATCTCCCCACAAGCGCGCGCGCACACTCACTTCCTAAGGAGACTCCCCCACCACTCCCCGCATCCCCTGCCTCCTCCCTCAACCGCCCAGCGCCGGGCCCTGCAGCCCCCCAGATTCCGGGCGAACCCCGAGCCCGCTCAGCCTCTCTCCACGCCTTTCCCCGCTACCACCTCCCCACTTAAGTGTCTGAGACTCTGCGCCTCACAAGGGACTGGAGGAGTAAGCTGCTTGCTTCCTTTTGCATGCAATTTATTATATTTTTTCCGGTCCTCTTGCAAAATACAGAAAAGGAAAGAAAAGGCAGCAAGAAACAACAACAACAAAAAAAAATAGATCTATCATTACCAGATACAGATTTGGAAAAAAAAAAAAAAGCTACACACCAATCTTCTTCCAGAGTCTTTCTCTGCCTCCATTTTTTTAGGAGAGTTCACCAATTAATTGTCAACACTCCTGCCCCCTGCATTTTGGCGGAGGGGGGAAGGAGGGAAGACCAAAGAAAACAAACCAAAAAATAAATAAATAAAGCAAGCCACAGCCGAGATCTACAAAGTTTTGCACCAACACTTAAGCAGATCCGTTTGCAAAGTCCTAGGAAACCATTTTCAGCAGTTGTGGGGGGGGAGGCGTCGACGTCATAATCCCCGGAACGTAAACATTGTTGCCGATCGCGCTCTGAGCCCGCGGCCGGGCTAGTGGAGGGGGCACTCGGCCCGGGATGGGGGGGGCGGGGGCGGCTGCCCGAGGAGGTGTGGGGCGGGGAGGGCGCCCGGGAGGCACCGGGCGCCGTTAGCGCCCTGGCATCGCTGTTTTGTTGTTGGGTCACGAGTGCGCCTTGCACGCAGGCGCCGCCGCCGCCCGGGAGTTGTGTGCAGAGCTGACTTTTGGAGGGCTGAGTTGCAGGCGGCGGGCGCATCCCGGAGATGGCGGGGCAGGGAGGGAGGGAAGGAGGAGGGGGTGGGGAGGGAGGTGCAGATTTGCACGGCTGGTCTCAGCGGGAGGCGCGGAAATGCAAGCCGAGCTTGCTGGCTAGAAAGCCCCCGAGGCCTGGCACCCCCAAAAAAGACCCCCCACCTCAATCCCTGCCCCCATTGCCCACGGCCCCCACGGGCCACCCCTCTTCCTCTTCCTTCATCCACCCCACCCCATTACCTACGTGGCCGACCCAAATTCAAAGCGCTTTGTATATATAATTGTTTTTTTCTTTCCTGCTGCATGTCTTGCTTGGGGTGGGGGGACGATCCTCTCCAGACCCCCATATGAGGACCTGCCATATGGAGGAGGCATTTGGGGGCTCAGGAAGAAATTAGCGCAGCTCCATACCTGTACGGACTGCATAACTTTTAAACTCCCGGACTCAAAGATATGGACCCACACACACGCAGGTACAGGAAATACAGCCAGACCAGAGCCTTTTCAGACCCGAGCTGACCGGAAGACGTTGCCTTTCATTCATTCATCCTGCCCGCGTCTGTGGAGTCCTTTACTAGGCGACGAGCCCTGGAACAGAAGTTGGACAGTTTTTAAAGGTCTCTGCGCTCGCCAAGAGAAGGAAATAGATGCTCAGGAGTGAAATACGGAGAGAATCGGATCTGGCGCCTCCTAACGCAGCGGGCAAGCAGGCGAAGGGTAAGCCCTTATTGGCCGTTTATAGGAGAAAACTAGGTGGAAAGGTGCAAGGCGCTCTGGGATGGGGTGCGGGAACTTTGGGCGCCCCTTGATGAATCCTGTAGGAATTCCTGGCAGAGGTCCTGGCTCTCTCTTGCTTTCCCTCAGTATACCTGGTTGGCTGTGACCGCCCCCAGAAGTGGAATCCTAAAGGTGCCTTCCTGTAATTCCATTATGAACAACAGTCAGGTCGACTTGGATTATGGGCAAAGCTGGCCCTAAACATTCCTCCAGTCCAACTGGGCCTGCTCTTTGGGGTAACAATCAGGAGGAATTGACAACAGGGCGCAGCTCCAATAAAGAACATGGATGCTCATAGCAGACTTTGCCAAAAAAAAAAAAAAACAATATATTTTTATTACTGCCATTAAGCCTGTAGGATAGTTGGAGCAGGTCATTTTGCAGATAGAGAAACTGAGGCTCACAGTCATGATCAGTCAGGGTGATTCCTGTGCGCCAAGCCAATATCCTCCCTAGTCAACACTCAGATGTGTGGAGAGGAAGTGGCTTCCCCATCAGAGATCGGATATGAACTGAACCATCAGCTCTGTATTGGTCACCCTAAGAGACAGCTTCCCCCTCACTCACCTTAAAGTTTCCTGTCCTGTCTTTATTCTATATTCTTTTCCACCCACCCCTAAAAACTGTTCTTTGAAGTTTGTTTTAATCCCAGTCCACTAGATGGCAAATACCAAAATTTATTTCCAAACTGAAATAGCCCAGGTTAGCTTAGTGGTAATGAGAAGGGGTCTCTGTCAAGAACCAGGGACCATCTTATTTGCTTCTCTCTCACAGAAGACCCCTCAAAAGATAATAGTCTTGTTATTCCTCATGTTACAAATGAAGAAACTTGAGTCTCAGAAAGGCAAAGCCACTCACCCAAGGCCACAAGCTTGTTAAGTGTAGTTACCAGGGCTCAAACTGGAGCCTGGTTCTGCCCTCACAGCCTTTTTGGATACTGACCACCCTCCTTGTTCCCACATAATGAAATGAACATGTTCAAAGGAGGGCGTCTGGGCTGGAGGGTCATGAAAAGGAAGTAAAGTGCAATAAGGCAAAACCAAAATAGACTGCTTGATTCTAATTCTCCTTTCCTCCCAGGGACCCTTCTCTCTCCATGTGGCCTCAGAGGGGTCCCCAAAGGCAGGTGTCAGGAAAAGATCCGCTGGCAAGCACCTCAGTGCAAAAACAGTTAAGTCCATATATCACCCCAATGGGGAGTTCCTGGCCTGTCAGAGTGGGAAGGGGTTGAGTCATCACCTAATTTAATCCCTTCCCTTTACAAACCATGAGGAAACTACAGACCAAAGAGAAGAATGGGCCAACCGGGGGGGCTTGTTCCCTCGGACTCCCCCAGAATGCCTACCCTACCGCCTGGTCCTAAGTGGTCACTCAGTAAATGTTGGGCCCTTGATGGATCACCTTCCCCAGAGATATTTGCATTTTCCCTTTATCAGTAATTGGCAGATGAAAGGCTTTGTCCTCCTGTTGAAAGAATTCCAGGCATTTGCTCAAAGTGGGGGAGGAGGTTATTTTGGGCCAAAGGGGGAAGGGCCAAGACCCTTGAGCTCCCAGTGCTGGCTAATTGTCCCAGAGGCGTGGGCAGTAGGTGAGAGAGGGGAGGGAGGATTAAGGTGCTTCTCCAAGAGAGGTACTATTTCTTGTTGGGAAAAAAAAAAACCAGGCCGGTTGTATTTGAAACTTAGTAATAATGACTTCCAGGACCCTCCTTCTCATTCTTACAAAAGACCCAGTCAAATCCTGGCCGGGTTGGCCCCATTCATTCATTTCTTCATTCATGAAAGGTTGATTGAGCAGTTCTGTGCTTTAAGACAGCGGGGGATACAGACGAACCAGCTCTGATTGTAGACATACTCCAGCCTGGACAGGGAGTGGACAGACAGCTCCCAAGGGAGTTAGGAATCCCCAAGATTTTAAAAGCTGTTAGAAACTGAAGCCGTTCTCATACTCATACATAATTATAAGAGCTCCTGATTTTTGAGTGCTTACCCGGTCTTTGAGCAAAGCCACTCAGGTTTGTTATTTCCTTGAATCTTCCCCAAAGCCCTAATGAGGGAGGGTCTATAATTCCCCACCTCTATGGCTGAGGCTCAAAGAGAGGTCAAGTTACTTGCCCAGATTTTACAGCTGTAGAATAACAGAGATAGGATCTGCACCCAGGGCTTGTAGGAATCCAGAGCTCACAGGCTTTACCGCTCACTGTGCCTCCCTGCCTGGCTCTCCCCTAGGACACGGTCATGGAAATATTCTGTGGCTGCGCTGTCCAGCAGCAGCCCCTAGCCACATGTGGCTACTGAGCACTTGAAATGTGGGTAGTGAGATTAAGGAAATGAATGTTAAATTTTATTTAATTTTAATTAAAATTTAAATAGCTGTATGTAGCTAGTGTCTGTGTTATTGGACAGTGCAACCTTACAGTGTTTTCCAGAATTTGTCTTAACTCACCTACCAGACTAGATATATCTCAGAGTCTGATTTGGCACTGTGTCTCTATAATCAGCCTTCTGGAAATATCTGTGGAATGAACGAAGGGACCCTGAGAAAATGAAGTATTGGAATGATGGGTGGGGGGAGGGGACAGGGATGTTTGCAAAGGTTTCCTCGAAGGGGCCATCTGGTGCAATGTGAATGTTTGGAGTGTTATTCCTTAAACCACTCACTCAGAGTGCCTGCCAAAAGCGTAGCACTGTGGGCACCTGGGGATACCGGTTAGATTTAAGATCGTCCCACCTGTCCAGATTTGACAAATCTACTTCTCAAGGACAGATAATTGGTGATGGGGCAGGAAGCCTTAGAAATGGGTAACCACTGGGGCGCCTGGGTGGCTCAGTTGGTTAAGCGACTGCCTTCGGCTCAGGTCATGATCCTGGAGTCCCTGGATCGAGTCCCGCATCGGGCTCCCTGCTCGGCGGGGAGCCTGCTTCTGCCTCTGACCCTCCCCCCTCTCATGTGCTCTCTCTCTCTCATTCTCTCTGTCTCAAATAAATAAATAAAATCTTTAAAAAAAAAAAAGAAATGGGTAACCACTTCCTGATATATATCCTGCTGATAGGCACAGAAACAAAGATGCAATCCATTGTAGCCCTGTTTGCAACAGAAACAGACTGAAAATGATCCAAAAGTTGGGGAACTGATTAAATAATTCTTGGACTATTTGTCTGTCCATTGAAATGTTATCAAATCATCAAGAAGAATAAGGTAGTTCTGTATATACTGATGCAGGGTGATTTCATGATATCCTTAAATTAACACAAAACAGGGGTACCTGGGTGGCTCAGTGGGTTAAGCGTCTGCCTTTGGTTCCAGTCATGATCTCGGGGTC